ATAGACAAAGAAAAACAAGGTTGAGAATTTAACAGATAAAACAACGCTGCTTTCTGGTAAATATTAATTATCTATTTGGCGCTGATACAGTAATGTTTATCTTTCTGTGTCTAATTTCAGCTGGAACTGTTCAAACTCTAAATAGGAAAAAATGGTGTTATCAAAGCTGTTACCTTTGCTTTCGAACATAATAAAGTTAAACAAGTTTCTAAACCGACTTTTATATTTCTCCGTGCATCTGCTATTACTGAAACTTTAGTAGGTGTTTTTTATAATGCTGCTTACGGAGTATAAAGCCAGCGCCTTAACTGTCATTAGCAGCATCGTCAGCATCGTCAGGCTTCAGAAAAAGTTGAATAAAACTGTGCATAGCAGTCAAATCGATTAGACAATAATAAATCAAGTTTAGTCTTACAAACAGTAAAGCCTGACAGTGTTTTCATGATAAACTGTCTGATAAGTTTCTTCAAAAAAGTGATCTGTATTCTGTATCATTGCACCAAACAGTGTTTCTACACAATAAAAAAAATGATCATACAATCATTTTTTGCTTGTAATCTTTTCGAGTTTGTATGTATTTTTATGCTACTATTCTCTTTCCATGTAAAAGACAAATAACAGAAGCAAAGACGCAAAATAAGAAAAAAAGATAGTTTTAACAATAACTAATTAAAAAACTGTTTAATTTTAACTAATAATTTAAACATCTTAACCTATTTTCAGTCTGTTAATTTACTGTTTGATTTCCACGTTGTCAAATTCAATTAAAACTATATCAGTGGCATAATTCACCTGTAATTAAATTTAAAACTTTATCTGTTTTTTTTTTAGGCTAATTAATGAGCATCATTTAGTCTTTTCATGACGGTATTGTTTATATTCATGAAGCAGCAATAGCCTAAAACAAAAACAAGAATGTGCTTCAATTTCAACTGCGGTTTATTGATAGCGGTGTAACTACAATGCTAAAAGATACCTGTAAGGACATATATTATATTACTGATGTAAATACAGTTTACCATGTTTTCTTCGTTTTTGTCCATGTTCAACAAGTAGTTCTAGCAGTTCTGTTAAGCTTTTCATTACTGCTTATTCCTTATTGCTCCCCGTGCCTGTGTCGATATGCAAAAAAAAAAAAAAAAAAAAAAAAAAAAAAA